TACACCTTCATTACTTTCACTAAGACCACTATGACTTTGATTACAAATGATACCCATCATGCAAAAAGGTCATACCTGCTATCTCCTCATTGTCAATATACAACAAAGCGATTCCATTCAATTTTCAGCCCGGGCCATGGTGACAGCAGGCTATGCAAGGTATACTAGACATCCCTCTCCCAAGGAACATCTTTCCACTTCTCTCAGGGACCATGAGATGTTCCTTAATCAATTAAAACATAAAATACCTCTGGAATGTTCAGGGTCTCTTACTGTACCATTTAGATGTGACTGCAAAACCTCCATATCCAAAGGCCCTGCAGCTATCACAATCACACATGACAAACCATCATTTGACAGTATACTAGGGAGAATCAATTTAATCTCCCTGCATGTCATGTCTTCTTATCAATTTTGCAAAGGAGAGGCAAGCCAGCCATCAGCAGAAATTCACTTCCGCCTCTTTAGTCCACAATTTGATTGATTTGGTGAGGCTTATGACTAGTGAAGGTTAAAAAGGTAAATCAACCTTAAATGTGAGTTATGCATTCAGGCTCTGCACCCTCTCAATGGTTCTGTTCTTTGCCCACATGACTGTGGACAATGTGCCAATTTGGCCTTTTGACCAAATGCTCCAATTCATTCTCACTCATGCACAAATGACACCTTGATAACGGCACTCATTCACTTGGGACGGCAGCTCACTCATAACCTGAAGGCGTGAAATAAATACGTCAATTTGCCAGAAAACTTTTTTAATTGGCTCAAGAAATAAAAAAGTTTAGTGCAGGAAGGAAGCATCGGCAAACAGATCAGTGTGGTTGTTCTTACCCGGATGTTGTCGAAGGATGCTTTGTTAGTGACATCATAGAGAAGAAGGAGAGCTGACGAGACAGAAAGAAAACAAAATTAAAATGCATGACATTGAAATTGTGAGGGCACTCTCTCTTACCTGAGGTTGGAGTCGACTCAGTGCAGAGTCCGGTGTGTTTGTGACTGATTGACCTTGATTAAGCCCAGGTCTGGGGAGCTTATATATACTCTGGGGGTACATCTCAGTTCCCTTAATTGCATCCAAGTGTCCTCCACTTGCCTCCTCCACTTGCATCTTAGTCCCTCCCACCAGAGATTCATGGAGAGATGCAAGGAAACAAAGCAGAGGAGAGAGGAAATGAGGAGATATGTTTTAAGAGACATGAGACGTCCTTTCCTCTTGTTGATAAGTTTCATTGAAGTCCAATCCGCTGCAGCGTCCAATCAATGAGCGATATTCGATAAGGGGGCGTGCCTGTCAGTAAAAAGACTTCCGCAAAGTCAGCTCTCATGTATCCTCGGTCATCCCTCCTCGGACCTCCCTCCTCTCTCCTCGATCCTCTCTCCTCCGTTCAGTTACAAGAGCTTTGGGACGTTCCTTAACATGGCGGGTCTAAAACTACTTCCAGTTCGGCAGAGGAGTGAGGAGCGAGGAGACAGCGTTTAAGAGAACTGAGATGCAGGGTGGCTCTCCAGTGCTCTGTGCTGACTCATTATCTCACCTCCACAGGTAATAGGAGCTTCTCCCTGTGTTTCTGCCTTAGTCTGTGTTTGCATAAACACAAACAAAGAACTTTCTATGTTTTCCATTGCCAGTCAGTGTATAACTAGGGGTGCTGGGTAGTTTAGGCTGTGAAGGCATCCCTGGCAGCCTTCAGGGCTCCTGGACAATTTAGCTTTGAGTCAGCTGGTGGTTTGGCAGCGGTGGTTTGGTTCATCATTTCCGGTGCATTATTTAGTTTAGAAGGTTGTTTGGCTCTATATCATTTCTTTGTGTTTTCACCCTCTATCAATCTATCGCTTGCAATTTTTTTGTGGTCTGTTATTGCTTTTTTTTTCAAGCCCAGCTCAAAGCAAAAGGACAAATTAACTTGGGATGGACACAAGGCAATATTTATTATCATAAAGCTTAACTTTTAAATCTGCTCTACATGTACATATAGTAACTGAAGTAATACAATACAGTGATTGGGAGGTTGGCCATCATTTCATACAATATCAAATAAAAGATACCAAAACAGTTTCTTGCTTATAAATGGGACACTCTGTAGTTTGAATCCTTATTACTTCCACCTGCACACAGCTGCAGTAGGATAATAATGACCTTAGATGTGATTTGGCACAACTTGAGGGTGTGCTGTATAAAGTTCTGTGTGACTGAAAAAGTCATTACACCTACGAAGGCAATTGGAGCTCATTATTTCTGCTGGATCAAACTTCACATGGAAGAATGAGCCGAAAGGTAATTATCTCCACATAGCACCTCTCCTCCTCCTACTGCATGTAATCCCAGCAGCCACCTTCACCTTACTTACATCTCATGCCTCATGCATTATCCTTCACTTCATCTGACTGCTGTGTACACCACCTTTTCCCCCTCCTCTCCAAGGCCAATCAATCCTTCAGCCATGCCCGCGTTCTCAAACAATCTCCACCCTCTATTTGTTTATTCCAGCCAGGCGAGTCCGTGAAGGATTTTGAATGTTTTGTAATCATTGTTAGCAAGGCCTGACTCTCTCAAACTTCAAAAACAGAGAAGGTTGAGAGGACAATGGGAGTAGTTAAGAAAAAGGGAGAGACGTACGATGTGTCTTTCAAGGTAATTTCCTCTCCCGTGGCGCCTGTGTGTATCAGCCAACAGAAGGCAGAGTAAAAAACAGGGAGATGCTTTCCTTCACCCTCACCTAATCCAATTATCCAGAAGACAGAGGAGCCAGAAAACGTTCTCACAGCAGTAGAGACGCAGAGTTAAGAGAACACAGAGTTTTATCACATGGTGGTTGCAAAGTCCAATAAATAAAAAACATAACAAAAAAAAGGAGAGCTGAAGGGAGGAGTAAGACACAGAATCCCAAACAGGGATGTGTTCGATATTGCCAAGTTATCCATTAAGAGCGCGACACATCCATCATCTCTCTGCATCAATAATTATTGGCTGACCTTGGCTGCTCTCCTTACTTTGACTTTAAGTCACTTTAGGATGCCCAGCAAATGCATCGTCCAGCAAAGCCCCGTTGGGGACTTATTATTGTTCACTGTTAAATGTCGATTTTTGCAAAACTGTGATCCTCAAATCAGACAGTCCATAAGTAATTCACTAACACACACACAGCATCGAACAGTTGAAATGTTTTTTTGATGGGCTGAGAGAACAGAGAGTCAGGACAGACTGAAAGGGAACATCCACTAAACACCAACAGCATATGAATTATTACATTACACCTGCAGCTCAATGGGACTCAGGAAGCACAGTACACTTGTTTGTATTTGCTAGAACATAATACCAACTACAACCAATATATATTTACCTTCATATAAAAAAAAAAACATGATTTAGCCTATACTCCACACTACAGTCAATAGCATGTTAACAAAATGTGCTGCTCTGACAACCCCACTACACACAACTGTAAACAACATGTATCATCTACTGTAGGTTTTATTCCTCCATACATTGCTGGTCATGACCTCGCAGACCAAATGTTGTCAAGTCCTACTGGCTTTGACCTGAAATGAAAGTCTAGCCAGCAGTAAGGTGTGTGGGAATGATTTCCTGTTAGATCATTGCATTCATCATTGGTATGTGTTTTTCTATCATAGGCAATATGTCCATCAATACAACACAATGGACACATAGGAGAAGCTATAAGTGGCCACATCTATACACTGTCATTACCATTACACACTATAAATGCTGCAATAATATTTCCACCCTTCTATGACTACAACATACAGCATCTGATTAAAAGCCACAGTGTGTTTCTGTTATGTGAGTAGGGATGTGTGTAATATGTTACTGATAAGTATGTTTTAAGGCATGCTGCTGCCCTGCAAATGTTGGAAAAAACGAGAGTGGGCTTTGTGAGTCCCCTTCTTTCCATTTTCTTCATTTTCATGGAATGAAGAAAATGAAGAAAAAAAACATTTTCATTTCCAGAGGCAATTTTCATTTCTACCTCTTCTTTCTTTAAGCATCACCATGGGACCCCATTCCATGGTTTCCATATTTGAAATTGTTGGATAAATATAAGTGATAACTTGTAAAGAAATGGTATTAGTACCCTCCCCGTGCCTGCGTGGGTTCTCTCCGGGTACTTTGGCTTCCTGCCACAGTCCAAAGACATGCTCGTTAGGTTAATTGCTGTCTCTAAAATTGCACGTAGGTGTGAATGTGACTGTGATTTACAGCTGGGATCAGTTCTTGCCCCCCGCAGCCCTGAAAAGGAAAAAGCAGTATAGATAATGAATGGATGGCATCTCTATACCTTTATTCTTTGTGGCCAATTTTGCAACTTTTAAGTGAATATTTAGGGGAAAATCAAATGAGTCGAGTTCATTATGTATGGACAGTAAGTTCAATAAAGACTTCATGCACGCAGATGCCCAAGTAAAGCCTCAAAGATTCCTTTCACAGCAACCTCGCTAACCCGTTTTAGATGCAGAAGCTAGCAAAGTTTGTGATGTGTGTGTGTGTGTTAGATAAGACACACAAAGGTCTTGATGATGGATCGCACTGCTACAGGGTGGAGCAATACCCTAAATGCCATGTTTTTCACTTGATGTTTCCTAAGCTTTTCTATGTCCATGTATTTGTATTCTAATGCTGTATGTGCTGCTGTGATGAAAACATCATTTCTGAATTAGTAAACTTTTTTGCTGAGCATATGTGTTCAGCAGAATATGTTAATGTGTGTGTGTGTGTGTGTGTGTGTGTGTGTGTGTGTGTGTGTGTCTGGTTTCCACAACACCTGTTCATTTAGGATGGCCCGAGGCAGCTGTCTACTCGGTGTGCTGGCTCGAGATATAACTGCGTCACATGGACACACTCACTTATGAACACACACTCAAGATTAGCTCATAGCTGTACCATTTCCTTAAGGCGGGCTAATTCTCTTTCTCACACACGTGCACAAGCACACAGACACACATGTACACCCACATATCTAAAAAGCACCTGCCAATTTAGAGATTATTCTAAACAGACCAATATAGAAAAAAAACAAGAAACCAGAAGTTGACAGGCCGCCGTTTAAACGCAACAGCCAACACCCAACAGCTTCAACAGCTGTGGGTTTTGTATTGATATGCACCACACACACCGAGTAGCGCAGTCAGAACCACTCTATTGACACTTCCCCGAGTAACATAGCAACCAGCCAACAGGATGCACACACTGCCTCCAGTGGCAACACTGTACACAACAGTACTTACCGTTACAGGTTTGAATGTGAACTGTCCTGAAAAGTGAACATTTGTCTACTTTTAACATGATTTTCTACGTTACTTTACCTTTTACAACAATGTAAAGGAGTTCAGGAAGAACCTGTGGAGTTCTCTGAAGCTCTAACAGTCGGGACAAAATTTAACTTTGGGGAAAAACGGGGAATGTACGCAACCCATCGAGTGAGAGCGGACACTTTACATACACTCACTGTCTGTGCAGAGGACTGAGATATTCTTTAGAGGTGGATCGAGAAACAAATAAGAAAGTTAAAAGTAATTTCTGTCCTCTCTGAGTGATCTGTAGATGGTATTTAGTCGTCCATCATCAGGCGATTAATGAAATGAAAGTAAGAGTTAAGTAATTCATAATGAAACGAGCTTAAACTGACAAACAGGTGAATCTTACCATTAGCATCACGATAGTAAGCGTGTGTGACGCTCCGGAAACGTTCCTGTCCAGCAGTGTCCCAAATCTACAAAGACAGAAACAAGAGAATATCTTCAACATCATCTATACTGAAAATAATCACAACGTTGAACATCTCTGTGATTTCTGCATCTCAGAAAAGAAAGCACAAAGGAGTGTTTATTGATTTAGTAGTTTGTGCTGAGAATAAAAAAATATATCAGTGAAGTGGCTTAACATACATTTGTTCTATAACTGTTCACACTTCACAATGAACAGATTGCCATTAAATGGATTATTTTTCTGTTTGGTAAAAAAAAGACTAGTAAAATGATGAATAAAGCCCGGCTCAGACAGCAGGATAATCAGGCCAATTCTTCCTTCCCGACAATCACGGGGTCGCTCCCGACTCAAGGCTGCTCAGAACCGATTATCTGCCCAGATCTTCTTGTGAGCAGCACAAAGATCCAATCTAACGTCCCTGATCTGCTCGGCAATCGTCAGGGGTGCCCTGATTTATTTCAAACATGTTTGATATTTAGAATATTAAATCTTGATGATTACGTCGTGACAGAGTCTGGCAGAAGTCGTGTGTGACTATCACAGAGAGAGACGAGGCAGGACAGTAATAAGTGAACTGTAGTGGCGACCGGCGGCAGGAGGCAACCCGCACAGGTGCACTTGACAACTGTCATGCTCATAGTTACAATCTTACCTCCAGCTCTTACTGAAGAATACACAACCCACGCGTCTCCTCAGACATTTATTCAACCAAAACATTTTTGATGCCTCTCTACACAAAGCATTATAATCGCATATTTAACCACCGGCTCCATTGTTTACGTGAGGTGGTGCGTTCCTCTTTCAGGTACGATCATCTTAAGGAAATCCTGTAATATGCTATGTGATGTGCCAAGGTTTTTTAATGTCTTGTAGTGTGAAGATTTTTGAGATCGTGGAGAAGAATATCTGTAAGGATTCTCCTAAGGCGTGAGACGCTGCCCGACTTCAAAATCGGGAAGGATTTTAAAACTCCTGCAGTGTGAAGCCAGGCTGAAGACGTTAAAGCCACAGTGGGACCCATTATATTATACATTTCTAATCTTACAATTCTGTGTCAAAGTTTAAAAGTGCATACATGCCTGGCACTTTCAAAAACCATCCAGAAATATTCATCCACAGGATTAAAAATAACGCTGTGTAATTGAGTTTGAAAACTCATCAGACAGTATCTCTGCTGATTTTGACCAACGAGAATTCATCAGCGCTGCCGTCTGTCTCTTGCTGATAACTTCCAGGTTTGCTAATCTGATGTAAAGTCTGTTATCCCCTCTAGTGCCTTCCGTCAGGCAGAGCAGCAGACTAATTGACTGATAGAGATTAACAAAGGCCTCATTAAGTCATCGCTTGGGCTCCTTTGCTGTTCCATGACAGACAATTAAAAGTAATGGGAGTTATTTACAACATGGGAAACTATTGCAGTGTTTTTTTTTTCATTTAAAGGAACATACACATCGGCAAATAACTCCCAACCATTCAACTGTGTAAACGTTTGAAAACAAGGAAAGTGTGCATTGTTGATCTTACCTGCAGTTTGACCTTCAGCGCATCAATGCCCATTACTTTATTCTGAAAGACAAAAGAAAAGAAAGACAAGACATGAACAACACACCTTTTCGAAAACACTTCACAAGTAGAATAAATAATGGTACACAGGGCTGCAGAGCAGGGATGTCCGTTTCTAAAAGGAATAGGTAAAGGGAGATTTGGTCTTTAATTAGCCTATATATTTATTTTGTGACCAGTATGTTCCATAAAGGTTTGGCATAAGACAAAAGGTCTTGTTTTATCACTATGATATCAGGACCCTCAACGATCTATGGCTCCACACCTGTGAGGTTTTGACAGCAATGGCATTTATCATTTATTTATCATTTATGGCAGCCCTGTTATTGACTGGCGACCTGTCCAGGATGGACCCCACCTCTCCCCTAATGACAGCCAGGATCCGCTCAAGCCCTTACGCGACTAGGATATAAAGGAATGAAAGGGAGACTGAGAGTTCAAGTGTGCCATGCTGGGTGCCCTGAGGGATCATAGATGAAGATAGAACAAACTGTATCTATGTGAAAGAACTCAAATAATGGATTAGACATGATTTATTTTCAATTTGATTGACCACATCTATTTCATGTCAATCACATCACCTTCTTGCTGTGATGTCACAGGGCAACCTTATCCAGCACGCCCACAAAGTGCACAACAACTTAGAGTCAAGGAAAAAACATCTTATAGTTATCAGCACCTTGTGTAGGCTTGTATTTTTTATAGTATTTTCATAGCCTAATAAAAGACAGAAAGCTTATGATATGCTACAAATGAACAAGAACTGTATTTTGTAGCATGCATTATCTCTATTATACAATTTGTTTTATTAAAAAAATGCTTTTTCTTTGTGGTTGGCCAAAACAAAAATAAACAGAAGCTTTAATAAGGACCTGTGGAAAACAATGCTTAAAGGTCTTGTGTCACTATTTCTCTGTTGTTAGCTGACAAGCTTGGCAGCAGTATAATTAAATATTTTAGAACAGGCACTGACAGGCAATTTTCTCTGTGTGCTGTGCAGTCTGGATACCTGCTCTTTACCATATGCACACACATACACGCACACACAAATGCACATACACAAACACACACGCATGCACGCACACACAAATGCACATACACAAACATGCGCATGCACGCACACACAACCTCAGAAAAGCTCCACATTCTTTTGAGAACACAAAAAACATACAACACAGATACGCAGAGGTTTTTGATTTAAATGTACATGACACCAAAAACAAAACAAAAAACAGATTGAAGGAACTACTTCCTGATACTGTCTCTGTTTTTCTGTAAAGAGCATTTCATTTTCAGTTGACCCCTTATAGCAACAGCAGACTTTGTTAGTGCGAAGCATCTGATAAGAGATGGAAAAATTATGTTGCTATAGCCACAGAACTGTGGAGAGTTCTGTGTTGTATTGGCCTTGAAATAGCTACAAGCAGAACAAACTCATATCCATCAGTATGTTATTGGGTTTGTCTAAGCTTTAAGCTCCACTTCTCTTTGTTCCAAACAAATACCTTGAGCTCTTGTCCCTGAGTTCCAGTCATCCATAGCAACTACAAATGTACTTGGTTTGAAAGGTTAAGGTCACAGTAAGAATCTTATTTAAAAGGCCTCTGTGGTGCTGTTACATCGACTTACATTCAAGGTTAAACTGCTGTTGCATCATTTTGCAGACCATATTCACAGAATATGGATGCTCAAAAGACATAAATTGAAAGAAAGTGAAAGCTTTTGACACATTTTTAAATGGTTTAAAGTTTTAAATTGTTGTCTGGGACAAGGGTGTTTTCTGACATAGGGCAGGTTTAGACATAAAAAAAGAAAAGAAATCAGAGCAAAAATTTGGAATTTCAAATTAGTTTCATATATAAAAATCTTTAAAAACAAGATTTTCATTTGAAAAAACAGGAGTAAGTGTTTTTGTAAGTGGTATTTTTAAGCTTGTTTGCCTGGGACATGATTTTTCCCAAATGACTTATCATTCAAAAAATCTGATGTGGAAGCAGCGAACAAAGTAAATTATATATCAATGCTACGTGTAGTTAAACAGAATGAAACCATCAACAAAAGAGCGGAGAACAACATCCTGATGAACAAAAAACTTAATGCAGCCGTTTTATTTTGCGCATGGAGATTGTAGCGGTCGCGTGCAAACACTCTATGCCCCGTGCAGCAGTCACATGATATTTTGTCACTCCCTCCTCTCATTGGCTCGAGGTGAATTCTCCGGATAATATCCCGCTGCTTTCTCACATCAGCTCACTTGGACTTGCTGCAGAAAAAAAATACTAGGGGGCTTGCAGGAGAAACTACAGGTGAAGTCCCAGTGAAAAATTCAGCTGTTCACACATACAGCTCCTCCTGGAAATATAAGGAGTTTTTCAGGAGTTTTCTGCAAGTGTAAAAGCCCTATTTGTCTTTGTCAGAGAATTTTGGTGTAGAAAAACAGATAAGTGCTTCTTTTCTCAAACAGACCTCACAACCCAAAAAATCAGCCTTTTCTTTCCGGCTCTCGTTAATTGCCCCCACCCCTAGGTTCAAAATCACTACCAGGAGGTTTAACCAAATTGGCAGTTTACTCTATTAGAAAAGCTTTAACTATAAACAAACACCCACATGTGTTCCCTGTGCATGGCTGGAAAAAAATCTTTCTGATTTAATGAGATTAAATCATTTCAGTTTGCTTGCGCATCAAGTTTTTAGGACCAAAATAAAAGGTTAAGACGGAGCCAAACCCAGAGAGGTGCTACCAGAAACTACTGTAGGCACTCGTTTGACAATGATGAATGTGGTGGAATCAGTCAGTAATAAAAAGGAAGGACAAGAAAGTTATTTCCTTTCACTGGCCTTGAGTTCAAATAAAGCACGGAGCACATACATTCAGTGTGCTCCTTTATCACAGAAAGCCGCCCTGTCAGAGACTGCAGTGACAGAAATACAGATGAGGAAGGAAGCAAAAGATATTCACCCCACGTCTGTCACATGAAATAATCAGCACAAAGCTGTTATCTCTAGTTCATGCAAACATTATGGCTTACCATTTCTTTGACAAAAAAACTAATTGTATAGACAACAAATAATTGTTTCTATCCACCTAATGAAGTCCACATTCACCCCCAATCTGTTTGTTTTTGTCTCCACTAGCTGTGGGGGGGAGGTACTGTACATGTGACTCCGAGTCTGCAAAATGCTGTAATGCATTTAGCCGGCATCTTTCTAACATTGAGGTCTTTATTTTTCTCAAAGCAGCTGCCTGCTGCAATTGGAAACAAGATTGATGGCAGCCATTGACTGTTAAAAAAGGGAGGAAGCCTGATTGTCTTAACCTGTGTCATTAGTCTCACCTGTGTCTGATTACTCATGTGTCTATTTAGTCTCTGTGTTTCTTCCCTTCAGTGTCACAATAACAACACCCACCAGAACAAAGAAACACACGGATAAGAAATTACAAAATAAAACAGGAAACACTAAAGACCAAACTAGGAAACATAAACCCGAGGAAAGATAACTATCAAAATAAGGAATAAACCAACTAACAAGAGTAAACCATGACAATAGGACAATCACAAATCCAATAGAAGACCAAGCTCATCCTCACTGGACTTTCCAGGCATCATAACATGCTCACTGGCTCAGTCTGAGCTTTAAAGTAGACTTAACGAACCCTTTTTAAAACAGGCAGAATGTAATGCTCCTATATAAACCATTCAAACTGTGCCCAGACATAATCCAACAAGAGGCTGGAAATCCTATTGAAGCGTATCACATTCTTTGAATTAATCCTACTTGTTTCAAACTTTGGCTTAAATCCTTGTTATCTGTAAGTATTTAAAGGAGAACATTGTGCAAACTCTTGTAGTATAAGCAGAGCTGTGTGAGATTGCTGTATTTTGTTAAGCCTAGAAGGGCAGACTGCTACATCAATAGTTGTGTATCTGTTATTGCAGGGGGGCTCTGGAGGCTCATCAATTCAAAAAACTTTATTTGTCCCCGGGGGGCAATTCAAAGGCACACAGAGTCAGCAGACCCCATGCTACAATTCCTTTCTCAGCCTATGGGTGAATTCGAATTGTAATTTTTTCTCAGGAAGGTTTCTAACTGAGTGAAATGACTCAGAAGCATTTAAGTGGCGGCCATGATAAGAGCCGTTTGAATTCTCTTTATGCAAAGGAAAGGTGCATTGCTGCTTCCTTTATCAAACATGTTTCATTCTTGTGTATAAAACAAAGACACTTCTGAAAAGTATTTACGTGTATTTCCTCTGCCCCGCAAAAACAACACCGACAAACCGGCCATAATAATGAGGTTTGTAAACCGTAAACACAAAATTGCACTACTGAAACAAGGCAGGCAGCTGAAGGGGACAGACGTCTACATCAATGAACACTTAACAAAACGAAACGCAGATATAACCAGGCAAGCACGATTCCATCAAGAAACAAAATAAAATACAATCCACGTGGACCACCAACTGAAAAATCTTCATAAAGCTGAACGGAGGAGGCCAAAGTGATGGTGATCAGAGACATTGGGGAGCTGGACAAGTTCCAATGAGGCCGAACTGGAAACACAAGTGAGTAAAAAACCTACACAATCATGACACACTCTAAAGGAAATAATTCATCTACATCTGGAGACATTATACCTATAACCCAAATGATTGCTGATAATGAGAATCTGGAACTGAAAACATTTGAATACACGGAGCGCAATTTACAAGACATGGAATATAATATCGACCCGGAAAATAACTTCTTCTTAAACATCAATGACGACTGTGGCTATTACACAGATGAACAGTACAATGAGACCATTAAGGCAGATCGGAAACTATCAATCATTCATTTTAACAGTAGAAGTCTGTATGCAAATTTCCACAACATTAAGGAATATTTATGTTAATTTGCACAACCATTTAACATAATTGCAATATCAGAAACTTGGATCAACCCTGAAAAGGGTGTGGACTTTGAATTAGATGGCTATGAACTGAACTACAAGAAAAGAGAGAACAAGA